ATCTCTGTGAAAAGATCTTACACACTCGCATCTCTGTAAAAAGATCTTACACACTCGCATCTCTGTGAAAAGATCTTACACACTCGCATCTCTGTGAAAAGATCTTACACACTCGCATCTCTGTGAAAAGATCTTTCGCATTCGCATCTCTGTGAAAAGATCTTCTCATTCGCATCTCTGTGAAAAGATCTTACACACTCGCATCTCTGTGAAAAGATCTTACACACTCGCATCTCTGTGAAAAGATCTTACACACTCGCATCTCTGTGAAAAGATCTTACACACTCGCATCTGTATGAAAAAGATATTAGACATTTGGTTCGTAGAGATTAATCACATCCCAGAACGATTTATGTGATTATCTGAAGCCATGATTTGTTGGTTTCTACGTCTTTTTGGTGATCTGTTAATCGAATGTATTTATCATATCCGATGCATCGACATCAGACTTTTCCTTAACTAGGTAATGGTTTCCTGTACTTTAGTAACATGATTTTGCTACATTTGAACTGATTTTTGAACTAATGCACTTTTCATTGGCAGATCAAACCGTTAATCATTGTTTATGCCTGTTCACAACACATGGTATCTCATCCTTTTAAGATGATTTACGTTTTTAGATTCTAAAGATGTTTACGACGTAAATGTGTCATCTTGGTTATGAAGGTAAAATAAAGATAATAGTGCTAGATAAAAACAACCACGTTCTTAGTATGATCTCGTAAATCGTTTTAACAATATACGGGTAATTGTAAATTAAACAGCTATCACCCTGTTAATGTCATTATCATATTAAACGGAAACAAAAGTTTCGCTTTTTTTCTGTCACATCTTCTCTGGAAGCCGTAATGGCATTATCAACTGTAAAAGAAAGGAGAACAGATGCCTCATTAACGATACCGGGGATGCTGTCTTCCTATTATTTAATTACTGTCCCTTATTTTGTTTCTGAAATTGACGTCTCATTTTATCACAGCTTGGAATAAAGGCCTGTTCTTGGATCGATTAACCATGAGAACGATGGTCACGTATATGAGTTTCTAGTCTTTCTGTGTATTACTCTTGTATGTTACAAATACATGCCCGTTATATTCAACCGGTGTTATGGTCAAGGCGACTTAAGAAAATAGATATCCCGTCATGTCTTCTACAAGCATAGACGAAATTTGGTTTGCTCTCACAAATAACACTTTTTCTATTACTTACTTTTCTCTTCTACAGTTCTTCTCGTAACACTTACTGGTACAATTCTACAACTTTATTTGTAATAAGACTGTTACATTAAGAACAATTTCAGTGTTAACAGAAAGTTTTTAACTCATTTTTGCTGAATAAGTAGAATTATATTAATTCATAAATGGTTCAACGGGTTGTTTCAAATCACGAATGTGCCACTACCACCTATAACCTTATTCTAAATTCAAATTTCATAATAATTGCAAACTATAAACTGGAGAAATATTTTACGGATACTTCTGAAAATGTACAATACAACCAAAAAAAGGTGTTCAGAGAGGGTAAGCGTCTTTTACTTCATTGATGACACCCACCATGGTAATCTTTGTCAATATAAGTAAGCAATGTCACATTCCCAAAGGAGATAAATGAGCCAACAAAAATACTAACAATTAGCAAACACGTCCAACTCCATATTGAACAAGGAATTCCTTTTCTTCAACCTCGATCTCTTGAAATCCTGCGAAGAATATATATTCAAGTTCCCCCTAAAGGGTGTTTAAGTGTTTATATCTTGATATCACAAAACCTGATATGTTATGCTTACCTTATACGTGTACAATACTGTGGTTAGAAACGGAATACTCCATTTCGTCAAAATCTAATTTAGGACTTGTTTTAGGTAGTACTTGAGTTTAAAATCAATGCAGTTGCTCTACTTTTAAACAGGCTTCTGTAAACATTCGATTATTTTGACACCTAGATACTCCTATGCTATTTTGCTATTTGGTTTTGACTTTAAACAGATCAACAATTTTAGGACAAGTAAAACCAACTGGAAGTAAGGTTGGAAAACTAAATAATAAATTGTATTTACTTAGTACTAGGATTAACTTTTCAGATTGTTACATGTACGCTGTCACTAAGACATTCAAATTACACGTTCTGTAAATTAACGGAGTACAATCAATAGTTCGGTTCTGTCTCGATTTGAGAAACTAATTCTACCTTGACAAACAAGTTCAGGGCTATGTGCGACATTGTCACACCCCTGATAGCACTGCGACATCAAGGCAGTAGAAATGTGAGAGAGACAATTAAGTTACCGTATAACTTCTGCCAAGCACGCCAACTTCCTTTAGTTTCCTCATATGTTGTACTAAAATTTTCATGCAAAACGAAAATAGCTTTGTTTCTTTGTACAAAATGACCAATAAGTCCTAGAAGGATGGATCCTCTATAAGGTGTATTTTATCATTTGGATCTCCCTAATTATAAATTTGTGTCGAAAGGTGCTAGTCACCTGCATGTCCATTGCACAATCCTTTACATATGAGTGTGTATGATCTCACTGGGGATAATTCCTACTTATGTATAATGATCACGAATGACTCGGGAAAACACTTGACCCTGATAGAAGGCTTTCGGTTTTGTTTCTGGCGAAAGTAAATCAAAATACTTCAATCTAGTTAACACTGCTGTAATTTTTGAGTACGATATCTGTTTTAAAACAGGATTCCGATAGTGAGGTAGAACAGGAAGAACACAGCTGTTCTCAGTCAGTGCCAATATTAAACTCGGCCCACGAACACTTCGGGGAATTATCCCGTTTTACCGAGACACAATCTAGCGTTTCCGACGACACATTCTGCGCGATGCGCTCATTACCGTTATTTTGCGATGAGATGACTGACAGGTCTTATCGGAAAAAGCTTATTCTGGACTTTTCAGGGAAAGGTGAACTAATGAACATATTTTTGCATGTTACAATAAGTACCGCTTTGGAATAAAACATCATTTTGTATTGTTGTTGATGTTTGATTTGTTTGAAACACATAACGTTATGCCGTCTTTAGACATAGCTTGGCTTACAACAAGTTTTATCCTAGATTTTACTTTCCTTCAATCTAACTATTCAACGAAATATTCATAAAGTGAACCAAAATCCCAGTTCCTTGAAATTCGTTATAATCGAGTTTTACTGTACTTTTAATGTGTAGTTACTACTCTTTTATTAACTAACAACTTTGCAGTGTAACGCTTGTACGTTATCGGTATAATATGTTTCAGAAATCAATTAATGGTCAACTAACGGTTCATCTTCTATTACAAAGATCAAAACAGATGTCAAGTCGCCAACCCCATGTCAAAAATAATTATATGGTGTCAAAATGCACTCCCATGGGTAAACAGAAATCCCTAAACAATTATCTCGACGATTTCCTGTCGGTGAAGTCGGCCATTAACATTCCTGTAGTCTGACTCTCAGATATCAAGCAATATCCAACACTACTTACGGGGGATCTTGGACAGTATGTCGTATAATACAGGAACTAACAGTATTTCAAAATAGTCCAGCGGAATATCAGAAATTAGAGAAATTGTTAAAAGATATACCATGTAATACAGTTTATTATACTCATTAATATCCGACATTACTGTAACAGATTTATAGGAGGGAGAGGGATATATCTTAAATTATGTAGTACGTCCTTCATATAGCATGGCACTTCTATGTTCCATCTACAATCTTAAATAAGTATCTTTGGGTAATGTACATAGTAGATAAGTCTCCGGCCTGGATTACTATTATCCTTCACGATCTATGACATTTTTAACACAAAACATTAACATATTTTAAACATTTCATGTGTTTCGTTACATTTCCACTTATACATATTCTATATAACACCAGCAACGATATGCCTGTCTTATTCACATTCATTAAATGGCTAATGATATTCACCATATGCCTGGTGCTTTTTGCACATAAATAAACCTTCCTTTGCTTTCTTCTGTTACAGAAATTAGTCGTGTTTTATTTTCGAGTTTTCAGGGTATATTAGGCATAAATGTTATTACCAATGTACATTGTACACATCAGTTTGTTTGAAAACAAATCTCATTCTACTCTTTAATAACAACGGATCTACTGTACCGACAACTACTAACCAGATCGTACCACCTTCTTATCTAAAGATGGAAGTAGACAGCAGGAATTCATATTACTAGAGACTTCTTTCACATGACCAATTGTTTCGATTTCCTTACTTAGGTGGATATCATTACACGCACAAAAATGTGTTCGCAGATTTTCAGGACAGGTGAAACGCAAAAACGCAATGAAGGAGAGAAACTACAAGACTGTTCATAGTTAGCTAAAATATAATGAAGGCGAGACACTCTAAGTCGGGTTATACTAGGCAAAATGTTATGAAGGAAGAACTTCACCATAATGAATATACAGTGTAGATGAATATATAATGTAGGTTCACAATATTCATATTCAAATCAATGTTGATTCAGATTTTGATATTTCTTTCGATCAATTCTAGTATCCCGTATTCGTCTTCTAGGTTTCAAACTTTTGACACCGGACATCACTGTTAGGTTCTAGAACGTCGCAACGGCTGTATGACGCAGTTCTATTATTAGCTCTGTTCTTCTGTATCGAATTATGAATTTGAAAAGAAAGGTGCCATTTACATGTACCTTTTGTACAATGCTCTTTATCCATGTATATTGTAACGATGATAATATCTTTTTTCAGTTCAAAAGTAAATAACAAAACAGTAAAATGCAAACCATTTATTACTATTTGTTTCATGTCTATTTCTTATATTTTCAGCTGATGTGCCCATGAAATCAACACGTCAATGTAAAGTGCAGATTCCTTAAAAAGTCATCAGGAATGTAAACACGATAGTCTTTATCCAAAACGTTTCACGCGGTATCAATTAGGAATTTACAGGTTTTAGAACGAAGTTATAAATAAATAATTAGTTTTAACCTGATAGTATCTTAATTCGTGATAAAGTGCAGTAATGAAAATGAGGACGAGTAGACTAAGATGGCGTCGATTTTTCTTTCTTTCGATTGGTCTGTTTCTTTTGAGCGTGTTCATGTTTTACCAATCGCTATCGATCGAGAATGTCACGTGTTTAGATAGGTTTGTCTCGCCGAGGATATCAAACCTGCACGATCAGTTAATTACAATAGTAGACGATAAGAAAACGAATATGGTATTTCGACAATCTGCTGATAGCAAATTAATATCTAGTTTCATATCGGACATGGAGGGAAACCTCATTCCTAACAGCATACACATAGTGTGGTGTCACAACAGAAGTCTCCATTTTGAAAATTATCTTAGTATTTTAAGTGCCTGGAAAATCATGCAACCGGATATCATCGAGTTTCATACGAAATATGATATTCATGGTGGACAAGACAAGTATAATTACTGGTTTGAGGATCTTAAGAAAACTATTCCAGGATTCGTTGTAAAGGTCATGCCAAACTATAACAATGATCCGGCCTGTGGTGTGTGGTACGGTATCGATGTTCTCCTGGATCGTGGAGGAATGTACATCAGTGACACAATGTTTCTGATGCAGTCTTTACGCCACTTACGGCGAAAAGACTCTGCGATTGGAGTTACTGATGGAGACTGGAAAGTCAGTTACGCAATGTCTACTGATCACAACAGACCAGCTTTAGTGACTTTAAAGCAGTTATTAACTTTGAAAAATACGGAAGATTCGGATTTAACACTACCAAATAATTATTCCCAATGTGAACAAATGGGAAATGATTTTGAAATGTTATTCGAAAATACGACTTGCGTTGAGTTACCAGCTTTACATCCTAAGGATATAATGCATTCGAATACCTCATTTGCGTATAATGTTAGACTAATACTATATGGAGATTCGGCACTTGTAGCACCTAAAACAAGGCTACCAGGTGTAATTCCAAAAATTATTCATCTTGTGTGGTTTAACAGGAAAACTATGGATTTTATGATGTATTTAAGCCTTAGGAGCGCTCTTACGTTTTTGAAACCAGATAAAGTGTATATACACGGTGACAAATTACTTGAAGGGGAATATATGGAAAAGTTCAAAAGAGATCCAAGGATAATTATGGTGAATAGAGAAGTACCAAGATATGTTTTTGGGAAAGACGTACTTTATACACAACATAAAAGTGATATCATCCGCGCAGATGTGTTATTAAAATATGGCGGGATTTATATGGACTGGGACGTTCTGTGGCTTCGTCCAATCGACGATTTAATACAAACCGGATATGACGCAATAGTAAATTTTGATCACATGCCGTGGCCTGATTTTCCAGATGCATTCAATTTAGGTGTTCTGATGGCAAAGCCTGGGTCAGAGTTTATTAAAAATTGGCAAGCTGCCTTAGTTGATTATAGATCATGGGACTTTTTTTACAATGCCATTCTGCTGCCTTATAAAATATACGAACGTTATCCTCACAGTGTTCATATAGAAAAACACCTACAAGTGATGTGTTATCAACTGAAATGTCATCCAATATTCCGACCCGGATACAAGAATTACAATCGTGAACAGGATTTTAATTGGAAGATGGACACTTATTCTGTTCACTTCACATTCCCTGACCCACCAGCCTTGACTAACGCCTCAACATTAAGAAAAGGCAAAGGAATGTTTGCCGATATTGGCCGGTACATTCTGGAGCAACCTTACGAATATGATTGAAGACGTCCATGGTAAACCTGAAATGAAATTTCCAAATTAGGTTCGTCACCTTCCATACAGAATTGGTGTAAAGTGGGTTTTATCCGGATTTAATCGAAGTAACCGGATTAACGAGTTATTTGCTTATTAATGAATGAATAGTAAAAAAAGAGATATGGTGAAATAGAGTTTAACATTTTATGATCTATCGCATTCCAAGTCTTGTAGGATCTTAATAATATCAAAATAGTACGTTAAAATGGCGATTGACCAGTACTCTTTATTGACGAAGTTCTGCTACAACGACATGTATTTGCCAAACAACTGTATAAAGATATGAGTTTAACCGTTCATTGAAATATATGTGAGTAACTTTCCTGCATCGGGTAAACATTGTCATACTCTTATGGTGGGTAAAGATATATATATGTTATTTTTATTGTCCAAAGAATTTTCAACTCTAACCACGCGGCTTTCATGAAACATCAACTGATGTCACCCGTTGTACTTCTTACTTAACAGCAAAATATACCGGAAGCATATCATTTGAATTGAGATCAAGCTATGAAGAGGCTCTTAATTGGACGAATTTTACGTTGATGTGACATCAAATGTAATATCTTAGTGTATGCTTGATCACCTGTAAATAGTTTGGTTCTGAAAAGTTTGTAACATTTCTGTGAGGTGTCAAATTTCCCATCATAAAGATTACTGTAAAAAGATATGTAGTTCCATTTATACAAACTGTTTGAGAAAAATGCTTGTTAAACTTTGTTCATATTGCAAGGAAGTCAAAAATTAATTATATGTATTTTTTTAACCTATATACCAAATCAAAATACGTCATTAGTTGGGCAGGTTGATCACTGTTCATTTATCTAAATTGAATTCAAGATACGTGTATTTGTGACATATGTCTCTCAAATGCAGTGTTTATCTAGAAATACAGAAACTTTGTGACCTATGTATCTCAAATGCAGAGTTTATCTAGAAATACAGGAACTTTGTGACCCATGTCTCTCGAATGCTGTGTTTATCTCGAAATACAGGTACTTTGTGACCCATGTCTCTTGAATGCAGTGTTTATCTAGAAATGCAGGTACTTTGTGACCCATGTCTCTTGAATGCAGTGTTTATCTAGAAATGCAGGTACTTTGTGACCCATGTCTCTTGAATGCAGTGTTTATCTAGAAATACAGGTACTTTGTGACCCATGTCTCTTGAATGCTGTGTTTATCTAGAAATACAGGAACTTTGTGACCCATGTCTTTTGAATGCTGTGTTTATCTAGAAATGCAGGTACTTTGTGACCCATGTCTCTTGAATGCAGTGTTATCTAGAAATGCAGGTACTTTGTGACCCATGTCTCTTGAATGCTGTGTTTATCTAGAAATACAGGAACTTTGTGACCCATGTCTCTTGAATGCTGTGTTTATCTAGAAATACAGGTACTTTGTGACCCATGTCTCTTGAATGCTGTGTTTATCTAGAAATACAGGTACTTTGTGACCCATGTCTCTTGAATGCAGTGTTATCTAGAAATACTGGTACTTTGTGACCCATGTCTCTTGAATGCTGTGTTTATCTAGAAATACAGGTACTTTGTGACCCATGTCTCTTGAATGCTGTGTTTATCTAGAAATACAGGTACTTTGTGACCCATGTCTCTTGAATGCTGTGTTTATCTAGAAATGCAGGTACTTTGTGACCCATGTCTCTTGAATGCTGTGTTATCTAGAAATGTAGGTACTTTGTGACCCATGTCTCTTGAATGCTGTGTTTATCTAGAAATACAGGAACTTTGTGACCCATGTCTCTTGAATGCTGTGTTTATCTAGAAATACAGGTACTTTGTGACCCATGTCTCTTGAATGCAGTGTTTATCTGGAAATTCAAATACAGGTATTTTGTAACTTGAATCTCTTGAATGCACTCTCTTTCTAGAAATGCAAATGCAGGTACTTTGTGACCCATGCCTCTCGAATGCAGTGTTTAACTGGAAATACATGTACTTTGTGCCCATGTCTCTCGAATGCACTGTTTATCTGTTTATTTTGTGTGATGCACATATGGCTTCTTTTACCCAAATAAATACACGGTGATTGATACCGAATATTTTTAGTGACCAGATATTTTGTTGTCATTGACATACATAATGAAAACAAATAAAATACTCACAATATCAAATTGTTTGTTTTGATTCAAACGTAATACACAGTGTATGTTTATATCTAAAACTAAAGTATTGAAAGCGATTAAGAGGAAACACCATCATATGACGGAATATGCTGAATCAAATTTAGGCTGTAAACAACAATATACTTGTTAAAACGAGTTTTAATTCTCCTGTATATTGTCCCATCGATTATATGATACCCGTGCTTATGTATGGCGACGAAACAATGCCTTTAATCTTGCTTGGGGGGCAAATGGATAAAACTTGACGTTATTGTAAATAGACTATTGGCTGATTCGTCTTAAATCTAATTATTGTGTCCATTCGATACCATATTTGATTAGTTCATTTCGCAGGATCCGAAGTTGTGTGGAAATTGAATATGGAAAATGCCAATTGTCATTGCATCTGTGTGTTATGGTATTCGTAAAATATACATTCCCGTCTGATGCCAATTAGTAATAATATGTTACCATAGAAAAGAAAAAGAATATTGAGAATATGATCTTGTTTAATATACTCGTGTGTGTCGTAAACCGAAGAGAAGGAGATGTTGCATAAAAGCTGTTGATTTACGGCAAATAAAATATTTTAAACACAGATGTCTTCAAAAACATCTATGTAACTGAGGCTGAGGCCAGGTCGACAGAACACCATAACCCGTCGGTGAGAGCAGCACTTTAGAAGAAACACACATTCAAATCCAAAAATCTGACAAGGTTTTCTAAATATTTCAAAATCGGTCCATATTAACTGTTACTGTGATAAATACCAGTTTGTCCTAAGGCCTGTAAAATAGACAAAACTCTTGGTTTGATCAAAGAAAGGAAAAGAAAGGTAAAGAAAGAATATCGAGTTTGAAACAAAGGTTAATATGTTATTCCGTTGTTCGGTTTGGGTTCTTCCTTATATGGTGTCGATGGATCATTTGACAGTCTGATATATATTCCCTTTGATATCTTATGTATGCCTCCGTTACGTCAGCTGTAGACGTGCTTATATCTATAATCCGTATACCCCGGATCTGCGTTTTATACTCATCGAATCATATAGATAATATGACAAGAAATGTATATGTCCGAGAGCAATCTTGACACTTGATAACAAAATCTGGATAGATGGTATTTCTACTGTAGCAATACAGTGTACCACCAATATTCCAATGTATTCAAAGACTTTTCATTGCCTCTGGTCGGATAGAAGCAATGATGGTGGATCATTTTAAACATCCTGTATTGATGAAAGGATTTCACTGCATGTAATCCGAAGAATCCTTTCTGGAACGGCATTTGATTTTGCATAAAACATTGATAACTTGGAGGGCAAACAGACAGAAGCAAACAGGGTAAACCTTAAAGACAAGTCCTCTGTAATATTGACAAAACAAGTTAGCGATACAGACCTTTTGGGCCTCTTGCTATGAAACTTGATTAAAAGTTGTTAGCAGGATAAGATTTTGAGAGCTAACGAATCCCTTCTTTAGCGGGACATTGCCTACTTCGATTGGCCAAGGTTAACATAGTGGATGTCGCCGATGAAGCAGAAGACGTTTATTCTTCCGGAACACTTGGTCTTATTCTCCTTGTAGTTTTTCAAGAATTTCCGTGAAAATTTTGTTCATATTTTGCCCTTGTTTTATTTAATTTGAATTTAGATAAGTGTATAATTTATGTAGTTACAAAAATACTTAAACATTGCAATTCTAGGTTTTCCAAGTTAAACCTGTGAAATATAATATAATAATATAATATGATATGATATAATATAATTTTATATAATGAATGAATGTTATGTATACGCAGTATGATAGGATTGGTATTCCCATGGACAGGAAAGTTTAGTATCACTGCCAGAAATTTCGTGTCTTGATCACAAATATATATTGACATTTATGTCCTTTTGCAGGAAGTCTATACTGCCGTGTCATGAAAGACTACAGTGAGCTGCTGGCCCATGAAGACACACTATCATCACCGTAAACCTCTTCGCTTATAATTCAGTGTAAAAAGGTTAAAAGGAGCATTGAGATGAAACGATGCTGACGTTTTTGAGCCAGTTACGAGTCGTGGACGTTTGTGACGTCTATAATTCTCGTAGGAGCTAATGTATGTTGAAAGCTACACCAGAAACAAGCTTAAGGTGTCACCACTGGTCCTGCCATTGTGAAATCTACAGCCAAACAACATTTGTCTCACACTTTCTCTCTACACCAATAAGACTTTGATCCCTTACTTTTGTAATTGCCCTGGGATAGCTCGTGCGCTTAAAATACGCGGATCTCAATTTATGGAATATTCCTTTGGGTTTCTAGGATGTGAGAGATATTTTGTTTTGTGTTAGACTAATGAGGTGGCAGTGCAAGAAAGAGTGCAGTTCCCTATTTATAATTTATCGTTTATTTCAGCCAATTTCGATTTTCTCGCCTTCGAGATTTTTACACTTTAGGTCCAAAGCACCACCGACGAGTCATAGAAAGACGAACCCGCCGTGTGATGCATGATTCATTACTTGGCATAAACTTTAGTTTATACTCAATTTATAATAAAAAGGTGATATTCCCATTTTTTAATTCCTCCTATGGAAACGAATATTTAGTAACACATACATGTATATATAACAGCTTTAAAGAAAATGAGATTGACGTTTGGACATAACATTTGATGTGTTTTTAACCTGTGTGCTGAAATTCGTGAATAGAATGGTCCCAATCAAACATCCTATCATACTTCCCAGATATCGATTTTAACGGGGTTTAAACCGGCAAAAATGTTCGATTTCATCGTGTGAATATCACATCTAAAAACAAGTCTTAATGATTGATAATAAATCCCCCCATTTCAAGTGG